ATATATATATATATATATATGTATGTATGTATTTGTGTATATATACATATAAATTGTATATACACCTATTTATATGTATAGGTATACGTGGGATGTCGAGTAAATAGGAGATGTAGAGGGAGGGAATGAGCGCGCAGAGCGAGATAGAGACAGAGGATAAAGAGAAACGGGTGCCCGGAGTGGAAAAAAGACCAGACAAAATTACAAGATTAGATGCCTGCTACCTGTAACGAGACTCTACCGATAAAGCAGCGCACTGCGTTAAAGATCTCGAGGCCATCATTCACGCGTGCTTTTTTAATTCGATCCGCGCTTCCAACCGCGACAACGATCCTCGACGAAGGCTGTCGACTTGCAAAACGTGAATATACTCTCGAAATATAGATATTAAGATTCCACTGTGAGAGATAAATTTCCGTGAATTATTCGCCTTGTAGTAGCAACAAACGGCAGAGGGATGGAAGAGGAAAACAGGGTCATCGTCCATCCACTGTCCGCGTTAAACCCATTTCGGTGTCGTAATTGTGAAAACTTTGTTCCTCCTGTAGCATTACAAAACTCGCATTTTACATAACACGCTGTATACAGGAAAATATCATCGACATTTCTCTCACACGGTACCTATCGCGAGCTACGTTCGAGTGGATGAAAAAAAACTCAAAATCACTTTACAGAAAAGTCGCTCTCCGATAGATCTTTACAGAATCGAACAAATTTTCCTTTTAAAAATAATCGACATATTTATAGCGATTGAGACAGAAACTTAAATTAAAGATATTGCTTTTGCGATGTTATAAATCCAATAATTTTAAATCAAATAACATTTCAAGACAATAATATTCCGTATCTTTATTTTCTTTTTTTTTTTATTTTGATATTAATATCAAACTATAAAATTGAAATAATATTATAATAAAATGGACTTTTATTATCTCAAGAAATAAAAATTTTTGATATTAATTTCGTAAAATCTCTTCTCGATTGTCGATTGTTTTATAATAATTTCATTGAAGATAATAGAAATTTCGAATTGATCAAAAAATCCATAACTGAAGAAAGAAATTAGATAATTCCGAAATATAATCGATAGTCGTACTTTTGCTACTTATAATTTAGAATTTTACCTTATCCCGACAATTATGCACAAGATACATGTCAAAGTTTTTCCTGATTTATGTCCCTATTCCGTCAAACGCGACTCGTATGTAACATATATGGATACGATGTTAAACTCATGCGCGAGGGTGTCGGAGCTTTCGTTCTTCGTGGCTGTTGTTGGTAAGGCGCACAGTTGCTCTATTCTCTTGAAACCAGTTTTCCTCCACATGACCGTCGGAGAAGGGCAGAGAGAGAGAGAGAGAGAGAGAGAGAGAGAGAAGGAGAAAAAGAGATACTAAGAGAGGCCAAGAAAGAGATAGAAATAAGTGCGCGAGCGAAGAAGAGAGAGAGAAAGAGAAATATACGCTCACGCGCGCGCGCGCGCGCGCGCGTGTGTGTGTGTGTGTGTGTATATGCCCGCATGCACACATTCCCGGTACGACTGTAAGTGCGTGCGTTCACATATGTAGGACGTATACAGATACGTTTCTCGCTACATGCGTCGGCTAAACTAGAAAGTTGCTCCGACCGACGTCGCGTCGGTCGAAGAAACGCTGCCCGAGCTAGAGCTACCTTTCGAATTTCAACCGCGAATATTTTCTACATATAAACGTCGCTCGCCGTGTTATACCGCGCCGGACATGCGCGTCCCGGCGAACTGCAAAATTCGATCGAAACGCGCGCGCGCCGCACTCGATTCTCTCTCTTGCCGGCCGTGCGGCACTAGCCCACGTATAAAACAACGCACGAGCGATCGAACGCAGCGTTTTCGAAAGCCCCCCGTGTTATCCGTTCCGTCCGCGTTTAGCTCTCTCGCGAGCGCGCGCGGCAGCGAGAGCTCGCCACGGATCGGTAGGTGCGATCGATCGAGCGTATATTTGGTCGGAAGCCAAACGATGCGCCGCCATACATACACACATCGCGTATACATAATATACCATTGCTACACGTTACACACTGTATATAATGTACGAAGGGTTCAGTTACGCTTTAATATTTTATACCGCGCTGCCTCGTCTAAAAGCGTTACGATTGTAATTGAAGTCGAAGCTTGACTTTTACGCGTAGCGAAATTGTTAAATTGTTTCTACTGGGGAATAGCACTTATAAATGCTCTCTGCCTTTGTTTCGAAATCTCCTTCCCCCCCCCCTCTCCACTCGTACAAATGAACTTTCCGCCGTGACTAGCGGAAGCATCAGCGAATATCAGTATTAACGGTATCTCCGTTTTTTTTTTCCTTTTTCGTGCCATTTCCATGAACTAGAATCTTACACCGTAAGGATACGCGTCGCGCACCACGATGCATTCCTGACGAATTAAGAGGAAGCGCGCGAATATCTACCACCCTAGTCGTCGTAATCTGGTCGCACAGCAACCCTCGGTACTCGCCGAGTAGAAAGTCTGCCGGTAGAAATATTTCGTTCTACGCCGAGACAACGGCGGCTTCCCGCCGAGGCGTGGCGGAGCGGGACGAGGCGAGGCAAGACGAGCTGAAGCGAGCCGAGGCGAGGCGAGGTGAGGTGAGGCGAGACGAAGCGAGGTGAGGCGAGGCGAGGCCTCGGAGCGTGGGTATCAGCACGGAACCGAGTCTACAACGCATTAGCGCGGCGTTGTCACGTTTCGAGTTTCTCTCTCTTTCTCTCTCTTTCTCTCTTTTTCTTCTTCGCCGCCTCTCTCCGTCTCTCCTTGGCCGCCCGTTCCTTTCCTTCCCGCGCCGTTCTCTTCCCCGACGCCTCGCGCTTAGCAGACCGACTCGTTCTTTCTCTCGACGCTTCTCGCCGCCGCGTTGCGTTGCGCCGCGTCGCGCCGCGCGACGTTGCTGACTCGACTGGCGGGAAAACTGGCTCTTCAAACGGATTTTCCTGCGACAGGCATATGGCTCAAGCGTTTCTCGGCCTAACTCTATCCTGCCGCTTTTGTGTGCCGCTCGCGGCCTGGCTATCGGTATTATAGGCATTTGACGAGCATTATCGACCGTCATTAATTTCGCGCTAGGCGCACCGCATTAAATTTACTTTGATTTTTTAATGATGATTTACTCGGATTCTCTGGAGGACAATTTTCTCGAAAAATGTTCCACGCACTAACAAACAATAGCAATAGCTATGACCGCATTCGCGGAGAAAGCGACAGACTCATTCGTTGCACGGTGTGTTTATTCCCGTTAAAGAATTTATAAATCGTTATACATATTATAATTTTATATAAATATATTAATTTTATATTACTTATAGTAATGAAAAATCTGAAGATACATCAGAAATATATTTAGCCATTATTTATTA